TTCTCTCATATTAATTGCATTTTCTTCACAATGCTAATCATTGACTCTCTGGCATTATTTTCTTGCTTTTCTTTCTAGTTCTAGCATGTCTCTATATGTGTAAACACTGTGTTGTTTAGCTTATCTTGTAACTTCAAATAGAATGGTACTAACTGTATTTGTTAACTCCTCGCATTGTTTCCTTACTCAGGATGCATTTATGGAGACAGGTGTCGGTAGTTGACTCCCCGTCACTGCTCTGCACCATGTTACTGACTCATTCCACTGGACGTGGGTGTTTGAGTTATTGCCACATTTCTTTCATATTTTGATTTTTATTTTTGTTGTGATTTGAGTGAAAATTTACAAAGCATATTGTTATATTGGTTCCACTCCCAGTCAGTCATGCATATTTTGTTCCATGAAATGAATGAGAATACACACAATATTGAAAAAACAAAAAGAACATTTCAAGAGCTATCCTAAAGTACAGTGTTGTGAATGATAGGATACTATCCATGTGCATACAAGGGAGACTTGATAATATAATTACTATTCAAATGCATGCATGAACCACTAAAGACGGAGGTGAAGAAATCGAGGGTTTCAATGAAAGTTTGCAGATGGAACTTGATAGAACATGCAATCAAGATACATTACTAATAATTGGTGACTAGATTGCAAAAATTGGACACAAAGAAGTACTGGTAGTTGGAAAATATAGCCTTGGCAACAGAAATAAGGCTGGAAAGCAAATGGTAAAATTTTGTACAATTAATAGCTTATTCTCTGCAAATACTTTTAAAAACACATGAATGATGACCATACACATGGACCCACACACATGGTGGACTGACTACAGAGGAATCAGACTGACTACTTATGTGGAAAGAGTTGATGAAAAAGTTCAGACTCAGTAGTCAAGGCCAAGGGGAACTGGGGAACGGATCATCAGTTACCAATGTGAAAGTTAAAATTGAAGCTGAAGAAAATTAAAAGATGTGCTTAAGAGACAACATAAAACCATAAGACCAGGTGAGTTTAAAACACCATCTCAAGAATAGATTTGATGCACTGAACTAATGCACTAATGACAGAAAACCAGATGAATTGTGGAATGACATTAAGAGCAAGAAGCCTTGAAGAAGGCAAAAGGTAATTACAAAGACAGGAAAGAGAGAAAAAGACCAAAAATGGACATCAGAAGAGAGTCAGAGATTTGCACTCGACTGTCAAGAGGCCACAGCAAGGAGAGGACAGAGAGATGTCATCTCCACAGAGCAGATTGTTTGATACCACATTCTTGTTTACATTGTCCAGTTTCTAGAATGATTTGCTCAGTATACAGATAGAACAGATCTTCCAGAAAGGATACAACGTTGACATACACCTTTCCTTATTTTAAACCATGCAGTGTTCCCTTGTTTGGTTTGGATAACTGCATCTTGGCCGCTGTATAGGTTCCACAGGAGCAAAACGAATGTTACTTTTGTTGTTGATTGCCGTCGAGTTGAACATGACTCATAGAGACCCTATGAACAAAAGGCCTGAAACCTTTTTATAACTATCGTTATGTATCAAAGTTCATAGTTTCCAGAGGCATATTGTTTAGGAAGTGGATGTCACTTCTGCTTCCAGTGAATGTTAGCCATAATTTATTATAGTCCACACAAACACCTTATAACCCGCATTCTGCAGATGACACAGCCTTGCAGAAAGTGAAAAAGACTTAAACACTTAATGCAGAAAAGACAAGAGGCTTAAGTATCATCAAGAAAAAGGATCTTGACCATTGGACCAATAGACAACAACATGATAGATAGAAAAAAAGATTGAAGTCAACAATTTAAGTTTACTTGGATCCATAAGCAACAGCGTTGGTAACAACAGTCAAGAAATCAACAGATGTCTTGCATTAGGGAAATCTACTGTCAAGGACTTCTCCAAAGTTCTAAAGAACAAGGAGTTCAGTTTAAAGACTAAAGTTTGTGTTAGCTAAGGCTTGATAACTGGATCAAACGGTACTTCTATTTTCAACTCTTAAAGGAAATGCCACTGCCCAGCCTGTGTCGTCCTCACTGTCGTTGCTGTAATAGAGCCCATTGCTGCAGCCACTCCTCAGTCCATCTCGTTGAGAGTCATCTTTTTTTATACCTGATCCTTTGCTTGACCAAGCATAATGTTCTTTTTCAGGGACTCGTTCAACCTGATAACATGCCCAAAGGAAGTGAGATAAAGTCAGGCCATCCTAGAGTCTAAGTACTATTCTGTGTGTGCCTCTTCCAGTAAAGATTAATCTTCCCTAAATATTATTGTCTTTTGTGTGCCCATCAAATGGGAAATGACCCGTAGCTGACCCTTCATCAGATTTTCAAAGGCAGTAAGTTGCACAGGAGGAGAGTGCCCATCGTCCCGGGAGTAGCTGGTAGATTTGAACCACGTGCCTTTGGGATTGCAGCACAGTTTCTTACCACTAGACCACCAGAGCTCCCTTAACTTCTATGTAGAATAGCCTAGAAAACCCTGCGGGGTCCCTTTAAGTAAAAATTGGCTCAAGTGCACCTAGCAACAATAACATTCCATTTCAGAAATGTATTATGAGTATTTTTGACCAGTCTCTTACTGTTGACATTTAGCTTGGTGTTAGTCTTTTCTTTCTGCTATAAAACAATGCTCCAATGAGTAGTGACATGCTCGTGTGTCAGTTTACGTAGGTGCCAACATAATTAAAAGATAATGTCTCAAAAGAAAAATAGCTAGAACATATTCATACAAGTTATGTGGCGATGTTTTTGTTTCGGAATGGATGTACATTTTACATGTTGAGAGAGATCATGCTAAAAAGGCCTTATGTATTGATTGATTACCAATCTGAATTTTCCTGAATGACTCTTAGACATATGAGATAGGTCCCTAAAGAATATTTTGAAATGTAGTTGTGTTTTTTTATTTTATTATTATTTTGTGTTTGTAGACACACCGTCAAATTGGATCTGACTGGTACAGGAGGAGATTGCCTCTCCTTCTCCAGCAGAGCATCTGGTCGATTCAAACCGCGTATCTCTGGGATTGCAGTGCAGCTTCTTGCCACTAGGCCACCAGCGCTTCCTTGAAATATAGTTCTTAATAGACAGCTCTTATGAACCTTCTAGTACTTCTTGAATATTTTTTTAAATAAATTATATAAAAAGAATATTTTCATCATTCTCCTTGTCTGTTTTGATTATAATACAGTCTCACAGATAGTTTGTTCAGTATCACTTTTTATGTTTTAGTCTACACAAGTAAGCCTGTTATTTTCTTCAAAAGATGTCTTCATCAGTGTTCTTATTTGAGTCTGAGTCCAAGTTACATTCCTGTGGCTGACGGTGTTCAGCAGCCCATGTAAGAATTTACCTCATTTGAATAGGTCATTCAAATTAAGGATAGCTCTTGTTGTTTGGTTTGTGGCTTTTTTTTTGTTAGTGATTTTATTGTTCTGATTTCCAAGTTGGGAATCTCAAGGAATTTTCCTCTTTGGTAAAATCAACAAGAGTGATGGCCAGAGGCATATGTACATTCATCATTTTGAGGGCAGCGATGCTTTTTCACCTTTTACCTTTCTTGTAGTGGCCGCAGAAGAGGAAATGAGGCAGAAACATTACCAGTTAAACTGTGTGAACATATTCTAGCTAATCTGTGTGATAATAGTCATTGGTTTTAGGATGCAACAAACGTTAATGGTCTCTACTTTTTTCCCCTCCTGGGGTGTGGATGGGGTTTATTTCTTTGAGGGATAAAGCACGAGAGAGCAGTGCACTATTACAGTAATCTGATGTAGTTTTTACATATTTATTTATACACCTTTATAAATAATCCCTGGGAAGTTACTATTTTATCCTCCTCATGGAAAAAACAGTTAACAGACATCATTTCTAAAGAATTAATATAGTATGATTTCCTTTGTCACAGTATTTAAAATGTAAAATTTCCCAATTTTTTCCCTTCTGTCTTCAAAAATGCACTGTGGGGGATATCACTTTTGCTGATACACAGCGTTATCAGGTAGGAATCCTAAGTGTCACGTTTAGAGTCTCCAGATGTGTGGTTGAATTTTTCAGAAAAAAAATTTCCAGACTGACTTTTTTACCCTTAATTGATCATTGACTTTGTGACCAGCTTTTAAGCATTATTGGGCTTTAACATTTATAGAGGACCTTTGTATCAAAAGAGGTTTGCAAAATCTATTAGACCTCTATTTCAGAAAGAAGTTTAAATGCTTTCCTCAAAAATATTATTGCATGCCTCTGACTTTGTGTGTTACTAGTCTTTGTAGAATTCTCTGTTTTTTATATGTAAACGTGTTTATAAACACATCTGTGTTATTCTTAACATATGTATGTTTTTAAAAATGATGTCTATATTATAGCCAGTAAGCAGGATTTTTCTATACTGTGTTCCAAGAAATAAGTTAATCCGAGACACTAAGTAAAGTAGTACTTTAATTTGATCACTTAAGTTTAGTATACTTCTGAGAGATTTACAATATACATAAGTATATCAACAGTCTGAGGGTTATATAGTAAATGAATCTGTTTTTCCTTCTTTAGCCTAGTACTTTATAGCCATATTGGAGTGTGGAGCACTTCATAACATATCAGAGTGTTCTGGTGATCTGATTTGGTAAATTCTGCAAAAAAATTTGAATAGCATTTTCTTCATAGTGTTTTAAACATTATGGTAAAACATATAATGTTTTAATCTGGTAGAATTGACTACAGACAACATTTTGGCCGAATCATATTTTGGAAATTGTATTTTTTATTAGGAATTACATTTTAAAGTACATTGCTGATTTTTTCCTTTTTTTTTTTTAAGGTAAAAATTTTCACAGTACTTTTGACGACCTTTAAGACATTGTAAAATTCTGCAAAAATGTTGTTTAGTTTTATAATTTAAAGAAACTTCTTGTGATTTTCTCTGAGTAGTTCTCTTCTATAAGAATATGCTCTTATATTTAAAAAAAAATATTGCTGTTTCAGATAGTGTGACACAAGAAAGGAGACCTCCCAAACTTGCTTTTATGTCAAGAGGTGTTGGGGACAAAGGTTCATCCAGTCATAATAAACCAAAGGCTATAGGTATGAATTAATAGAATTCTTAGTCCTTTATAAGATAAGAGATTTGCCATAAGATTAAAAGAGGTTTTAAGAGATTATTTTTCAACATCTGTGTGTACTTTTCTACTTTCCAGCAATTTGAGTAGGTAAACCAAACTTTCTGCTAGATTCTAATGCTTAAAGCCAAGAGTCCCCAAACATTTTTAGCTAATAAAAAGTTTCCTGTAGAGATCTGTGTTTTGCTAGCCCCAAATCAACTGATTTCTGGAACCAGCCCAGTATGTAACATTGATGTGTATATGTTTATACAGATAACCAGTGCAATCATATGTGGGAAATAATATGTAGGATGAAATGTGCTAGAAATGAATTATGTGGCTCTTTTCCAAGTAGAAGTAGCACAGATCAATTCCAGAATTTTTAACAACAACAAAAAAAATTGTTTTTTCTTTAAATTACTTCTTTGCAGTATATGCAGAGATATGAAGCTTCCCCTCTCCCCCTGACTCCATGGTATTTCTCTATATATGTATTTGTAGTGTAATATATATATATATATTTGTAGTGTAGTGTTTATGTTGTTGTTGTTATGTGCCGTCGAGTCGTTTGCTACTCATAGCGACCCTATGTACAACAGCCCTAAACTCCGCTCTATCCTGTGCCAATCTCATTGCCTCTGACACACCCATCCCGATTACCCCAGTCACTGAATCAATCCACCTCATAGAGGGTCTTCCCCTCCTGAGCTGTCCCTCCACCCTCCCAAGCATGATGTCCCTCTCCCAGGACCTCTCCGTCCTTACATGTCCAAAGTATGTCAGACAAAACCCCAGGATTAACAATTTTTGTTAACTCAGACGAGGTGTTGGGAGAGTATTTTTTCTTCATCACGTTACTGAGCACAATTAGAAACTTGCTAGAAAGAAATTGTACTTTAAAAATATTTTCCATGACATTGGACCCGGAGAGATTTAGGAGTAAGCAGGATACATAGGTGAAAGCCTTTTTCATTTAATCCCCTAAATCGACGTAAGGGGTGCTCTGGTGGCGTGGTCCATCGAGAGTTAGGCTGCTAACCAAAGGCAGAGTTTCTCTCCTGTTTGCTCCAGGTGTGCAATCTCCTCCCATGTGATTTTGTCTGGAAAGTCCTCTGAGAGTCGGCCGAGAGTTGGTTCTGACTCGATGGCACATAACCACAAGCGATGACACACAGGCATCATTGGTGTCTTGGTCCACAGGCAGTTGCACTGTCAATGCAAAGGCTGAGCCTCTCTGATGATTTGAATCCAGCAGAAGCTCGTCTGGAGAGAGTGGGGCGGTCTTCTCCATGCATTTTCCAGTATGGGAGATCCGTAATGATTAGCTATGAGGCACTTTGGACGCAAAGGGGGAAAAAAAGAGGTCTATAAAGTGTCGTTCCAACTTGCCACTGAAATAGAACCAGATTTCTTTATAAATAAAGTTTCCTCAAGATATATTTTGCTAATTGTGTTTTTGCAGTTCTTAGTTATGTATAGCTACATGCTTTCAATTTTAAAAACAAAAAAGGGGTTTGTATGGCTTCTGTAGACTCCATTGTTCCTAACCATGGCACCTCTTCTTAACTGAAAAACAAAGCAAGTTAATGATGAGAAATATTGTGCTGTAAAGCTAAAGGGATTCTTCCTTCCAATAAAAAAAATGAAACTCTAATGTATGATAATACTACTTCATTGTTTTCAAAGACATGGAAGAATCAAGCAAGGAATTTGATGAACAGTAATTCCAGAATGGTTACATTTAACTATTTCTTTAACTTAAAAAATTTGTGCATCAGTTTGCATCCAGCGTTTGACGATTACATTCTTCTGAAAGAAGCTTTTCTAAAAGAATAGATTTCAGGTTGTTAACCCATAGATTTATCGAAAGCATTTGGGGAATTTTGACATTTGGAAACAAGCCATAGTATATGAAATACTTTCTAAAAGCAATCACGTAATAATAATAGAAAGACCATACTTTCAACTTAGTCCTTCTTAACTTATCCCTTTCTGTGTTGACTCTTGGGCTGAAGACTCTTTGGCATTACCGAAATTATTAACTGTGTTTTTAAGAGGTAGCAGAACCCTGTCCGCTATATTGTGCTTGAGTATCTGTTTGCTGTGGGAACAGTCGTTCACACCATATGCTTATTAATTTTTCTTATTAAAAGCTTCATATCATATGATTTTATTTTTTTTAAAGGACCTTTTCTTGTTCTGTAGGATCTACCTCAGACCCTGGAAGTAGAAACAGATCTGAATTATTTTATACTTTCAATGGCTCTTCTGTTGATTCTTATCCACAGTCCAAATCAAAAAATACTTGGTACATTGATGAAGGTAATTCGTGCTTTTCTCTCTCCCTCTCTCATTGCCATCAAGTAGCAACCAGATCATAGGGGACCTGCTAGCGGCTCGTCAGAGGCTGTAAATTGCATGAGAGGAGATTGCCTGTCTTTCTCCTGAGGTGGATTCGAACCGGCAGAGAAGTGCTGTATTTGGGTTAGCAGCATATAACTCTCTATGGACTAGACTATCTCTTTATAAATCATCAGAGATTAATGACCTTTTCACCATTGTTTGTAGTTTTCAGAAATGGAATGAGTAGACTGTTTTGTGTGTGTATGTGTGTGTGAATTATAGGTAGGTCTTGATTTCCAATGGAATTATATTCTGATGATTGTATTTTAAAGTCATCTCTCACGTAAGTCAGATTTATCACTTTTTAAAAATTTTCATTATCATTATTTTTATTTTCAATGTCTTTATAAATCCAGTCTTACATGTAAATAGCCTATTTGTGCAAGATTTTACACTTTGAACTGCGTTGATGTTAAGATTGACAACTTTAAAAAATGTTTTAAAGGTGTGTTTTCCTCCTTTAAGTGATCTGTTCAGTGTCGAAGATATCCAGAATCAATTATAACCTTTCTCTCTGGTTCTTTCTTGATGTCATTTAGACCTTGTTAAAAGTCTGTCTTCTTTTTCCTCTGAGTTAGAATTTTCTTAGCTTTATTGCTTCCTCCTCTCTCTCTTTTATCCTCTTAATAAATCTTTTTTGAGTGTTTATGAGGTACCAGACATTCTCTAGGCACCACTGTTTTAGAGATGAGGATGAGATAGACATTGTCATTACCCTTTTCGAGTTTATGATCCAGTTGTTCAGTTAGAAGTTTATCAAGCAATTGAGATGCAAAGATACAGTTGTAGTTGTGATGAATAAATTGAAAAGGAGACACATGATTCTATGGGGCCATATTAAAGGGAGATTTTAATTAGGAGGCCCAGGGAGGTGTCTCTGAGGAAGGGATTTAAGTTTGGGCTTATCAGAAGAGCAGGATACAGCCAAGTAAAAGGAAACAGAAAAACGTTTTCAGACAGAAGAATTGCATGTACAAATGCCTCATGGGGGAAAAAAGAAGCCTGACAAAAAAGGCAAACGTAGCTAGAACAGAGAGATTACTTTGTGAGATGGGATTGGAAAAGCAATCAGGGCCAAGGTCTAGAGTGCCATAGAAATGGTTTTATAAATCCACTGACAAGTTTCTCAACAAGGAGTGACATGGCCAGAGTTACCTTTGGAAAACATCATTCTGACTGCAGAGGGACAGTGGATTGAATTAGCTTGGACATGTGAGTGAACTTGTGCTATTGAAGGCTAATTGCTCTGAGGCTATTGCCATTGGGATGAGATGGAGAGAAATAGAACGATGTAAGAGCAAAGGTGTTAAGTTGACAAGACTCACAGAAGATGGAAAAGAAGAGCTGAGGAATAAGGAACTGGCAGGGATCCCTCCTGCTTCATTTCTTGCATCTTTATATGGTTTTGGAGGGAAATGATGAATTTGATTTTTAAAATATCACATTGGAGCACCTTTCTAAACTCCCTCTATGTCATTTGTCATGTAGGCAGTTGGATATACTGATTTGGTGATTAGACAAGAAATAAGAGGTTGTAAAAGAAATTGGTAGGTCAACTCTTTATAAAGGATGATTAAAATATTAAGGGTATGAGAGCGTAGATGTTATAGCTTAAGACTGAACCTTGAGCAGTTTAAGGCTGCAGGAAAAAGAGAGTATGTTTTCAAAAGAGATAGAAAAGAAGTGTCTACAAGGATCCAGGAGACTTAAACTAAGGAAACCCAGGAAAGAGTGGATGGCAGTATTGAATGCTTCCAAAGAGACAGGTAGGAGAACCATTCAACGCCCATTGATTCAACCATCTGATAGTATGTTTTACTGGAAGAATTTGATCAGCTGTCAGACTGAAGTGCTTTCAGGATATATGGTGTAAGGAGATGGAGACTTGTGTCCAACATCTGTCTAAGGCTGCATCCTGGACTCCCTCTCTCTTATTAATAACATCTAGTCAGCACCTTTTCGCTTTTACCAAGCAGTGTTGTGTCATCTGCAGAATGCAGGTTCTTGGTGCGTCTTTCTCTGATCCTAAAGCCACTTTTCTCTTCATAGAGTCCAGCTTCCTGAATTATTTGCCCAGCATACAGATTGAATAGGTATGGAGAAAGGACACGTCCCTGACATCCAGACTTCCTGATTTTAAACCATGCAGTATATTACATTGCTTCATTCAGACAATAGCTTCTTGATCTAGGTACTTGAAACACTTGCTACAGAAGATCAAGGACTACAGTCAGTGGTATGGATTACATTTCAACATCAAAAAAACAAAGGTCTCACCACTGGATCACTCGACAACATCATGATAGGTGAAGAAAGGATTGAAGTTTTCAGTGAGTTCATCTTGCTTGGCTCAACAGTTAACAGCCTTGGTACCAGCAGTCAGGAGACCAGTAGATGGTCAAGCCTGCTGTCAGAGACCTGGCCAGAAGATAAAAGCAGTGATGTCAGTTTGAAGATCAAAGTGTGCCTGATTCAGGCCATGGGCTCTTCAGTCACTTGCTGTGGATCTGAGAGCTGGACAGTGAATAAGGATGCTAGCAAAAGAATTGATGCCTGCCTGTGAGTTGTGTTGGAGAAAAGTACTGCATATCACGTGGACTGCCAAAAGAACAGATACGTTTTGGAAAAAGTGCAGCCATAGTGATCCTCGGAGGCAGAGACGGCAAAGCTTCGTTTCTCAGACTTTGGTCATGTTGCCGGGAGAGGTTGGAGAGGGTCATCATGCTTGAAAGATAGAGGGTCAGCAAGAGAGAAGAAGCCCCTCAGAAGAGATGGATTGTCCCTGTGTCTGCAGCAGTGGGCTCAGGTGTGTCAGATGACGAGGCTGCACAGGCTAGGACAGGGGTCAGGTCTGTTGTTCATGGTGTCACTGTGAGTTGTATTTGTCTCGACAGCACCTAACACAAATTGTCACCAGTCTTCTGCCTTTATTTTCCCCCTCAGCATTCCTAGAATCTTTCCTTTCATTTTCATTTCCGAAACCATGGCTTTAGATCAGATCTTTTTTTGCTCCTTCCCAGATTAATCGAATGATCTATAATTAATATAATGTTCTACTAATTCATTTTAGTGCCTTATATCTTGTTCTTTTAAAATAGATTCTAAACAGTAACATCGTTTTCATCCAAGTAGCTACCAGTTCTTGACTTCTCACTACATGCCAGCCACCGTACCAAGTATTTTATATGCATGACTGTATTTTCTCCTCCTAACAGCTTGATGAAGTAGCTGATTTGATTTTCTCCTTTGTTGTAGAAGTTAAATCTCTTCAGGTCACACGTCTAGTAAATAGAGGAGCCAGTGTTTTCGCCCATGTCTGTTTTGCGTCAGAGCTCACCATCTTAGTCACTACCTGTGTTTCCCTCTGCATCGTTCATGTCTGTCTTTTGTTTAATTATCTATTATTGTAGCTCTTGTCCCCGTTCCTTAGTTTGGCGTAGTGGAGTCTATGACATAACTTCTTACTCTTTTCTTCCATCCCCTCTTTCAGTCCCTAGTCCCATCGTATTCTCGGTATATATCATATCTTCTCTTTTTTGTACATATTTTTTCCACTACTTGGAAACCAATCTTTCTGTTTCTCTACTTTGTGATCTGTTCATCTCTTAAAGCTTATGTGTTCGGCTTGTCTTCTCCCACTTCTCTTAGGTTATATTTATCATAACACTTATCACTATTTCCTGGGTACTGCACATGTGGGTGCCATACATGGAAAATGTTACAGAGAAAAGACTCCTCAGAATCAATTCAGTGGCTATAGTAACCCTTCACATTGTATTATGTGTTACAAGTAGTCCAGAGTTGATTTAAAGTATGTGGTAAGATGTGCATAGATTATATACAAATATCTGTCATTTTATGTAAGGGACTTGATCATCTGTATATTTTGGTATCTGTGGGAGGTCCTGGAACCAGTCTCCCATAATTATCATGAAATGATTGTACATTTTTATAACTAAAATTTCTTTCCCCCCCATAGTTGCTGAAGACCCTGCAAAATCACTTTCGGAGCTATCTCCAGACTTTGGACATTCATCGCCACCCCTGCAACCCCCTTCCATCAACTCACTGTCCAGTGAAAACAGATTTCACTCTTTACCATTTAGTCTCACAAAGATGCCCAATACTAACGGGAGTATTGGGCACAATCCGCTTTCTCTGTCAGTTCAGTCTGTGATGGGAGAGCTAAACAGTGCACCTGTGCAGGAAAGTCCACCCTTGGCCGTGTCTTCCGGTAACTCCCACGGTCTGGAAGTAGGCTCCCTGGCCGAAGTGAAAGAGAACCCACCTTTCTATGGAGTCATCCGCTGGATTGGTCAACCACCGGGACTCAATGAAGTGCTGGCTGGACTAGAGCTGGTAATTTCACTTGACTACAACCATATGTTCCTTTCGATCTCGTATTAAGCATACTTTCTGTTATTATATGTTATTTATCTAAATGTTTTATTTATCAAATAAAGTTATCACTGTTGTTAAGTGCTGTCGAGTCGTAGGCGACTCATAGCGACCCTATGAACGAAAGACATGAACTCTTGTATAACTTCCATTGTTTCTCCATGTTCATAGAGTTTTCAGAGGCAAGCTCTTTGGGAAGTGGATGCCACTCCTGCTTCCAAGCTCGTTTTAATCAGGGAGCTCCACCATACACTGTCCACCAGGGGTAACCATTTTCACATTTGACACATCAGTGTCAGTGTTCAGCACCACAGCAACCACAACAGATCAGTGCTGTGCCACTTAGAAGAAGTTTTGAGAAGTTAATATTGTGTTAACTGACTTTTCTGTGGCTCCCGTTAAGCTTCTGGCCCTCTTATTCCTGTTCGTAGTGTTGGTCTAGGTTTAAGAAATGAGACTGATTTTTATGCTACTATGTTTGTTGTTGTAATAGAATATAGTAAAGAAAATCAGTCTGTTCTGTTAGTTTTTCTCTTGCCCTCCTCCTTCAGTCTCTATCCCCAGAACAGTATTAATGTATTATTGGTGTTAAGATTAAACTTCAGGAACACTGGTGGGCTAGTGTCAAGAACCTGTGCTGCAATCCTGAAGGTGTGTGGTTCGAATCCACCAGATGCTCCGCTGGAGGAGGAGGGACAATCTCCTCCTGTGCTAGTTGGGTTTGATTTGACGGTATACAAGAAAAAAAAAAATCAGGCAAGAAGCTGTGCTGCAATCCCGAAGATTAAGCTTCATATTTAGAGATCTTTGGTTGTTATTGTTGTTGTTAGGTACTGTCTAGTCAGAACTGACTCCCTGCTGACCCTCCATTGTATTTTTAGAGGTAGTTAATACATGGAAGATGATTTTCCATCTTTCTTCTGCAGAGCAGCTAGTAGATTCAAACTCCCTGTCTTTGGGTTGGCAGCACATCTCCTTACCACTAAGCCAGCAGAGGTTTGGTAGAGGGAAAGAGTTTTCTCTTTGATTCTTAAGAGGGCATGTTATTGTTATGAGCTGTTGCATTGCTTGTGACTCACAGCGACACTTTGTACAATGGCTCTGAACCCTGCTCTGTCTTGAGCCAATTTAATTGTTTCTTGACACATCTACCCACTTTACTCCAGTCACTGAGTCAGTCCATCTCATCCGGAGTCTGTCTCTCTTGTGCTGTCCCTCCACCTATCCAAGCAGGATGTCTTTCTCCAAGGACTGGCTTCTCCTGGAAACATGCCCCAATTATGTCAGATAGAGCTTCAAAATCCTTGCCTCCAATGAGCAGCTTGGTTTCACCCTCTCCGGGACAGACCTGTTTATTCTTTTAGCAGTACTCTTCTCCAACACCACAACTCAAAGGCATCAATTCTTCCATCATCCTCAGTTCAGCTTAATTCAGGCTCTCTGATGCATAGCAAGTAACTGCAAAGACCATGGCCTAGATCAAGCACACCTTAGTCTCTAGACTGCCATTGCTGTTCTTCAGCACTCTGGATAGGTTCCTGGCAGCAGATTTTCCCCAGTACAATTCATCTTTTGATTTTTCTGGCTGCTGATACCAAGAATGTTGACAGTGGAGCCAAGCAAGCCGAAACACTTAACAATCTGTGTCTCTCTTCTCCATCTGTCATGATGCTGCCAATTGGCCCAGTGGTGAGAATCTTTGTTTTCTTCTTGTTGAGCTTCAATCCACATTGAAGTCAGCATCCTTGACCTTCTGCAGCAGATGCCTCAGATCTCCCTCAGTTTTGGCAAGCAAGGTTGTATCATCTGCATAATGCAGATTATTGATGAGACTTCCTCCAGTCCTGATGCCATATTCCTCCTCATAAAGCCCAGCCTCCCGAATGATCTGTTTCACATATAGATTGAAAAGGTATGGAGACAGAACATATCCCTGACCTGCTCCTTTTCTGATTTTGAACCATGCATTGTTTCCTTGCTTTGATCTCTCAATTGCCTCCTGGCCCAAGTATAGTTTTGTATAAGCACAATCAAGTAGGAGAAGAATTTGAGTACATTCAGCTTTTATTTAAATATATTCTTATTCTTTTTCATTTATTTGTTTTCCTCCATGCTAGTGAGTATTTTTTCTTCCATGCTAGTGAGTATTTTGAGTTCTTAAAATAGCTTCCTCTTATTTTTCTTTTCCACCTGGCTTTAGTACTTGGTGCAGGAAAAGTAGTTAACCAAAGAAGGTTTAGACCTGGAAAGAAATACCTTTTTTTTTTTTATCCACAAAAGAACTCTTCTTATTATTTAATGAAAATACAGACCACCCAGGGCGAGGCACTGGCCATGACCTCATTGGCATCAGGCCTGGGCTCCCAACACCTCCCCTTCTAACATCCCGAGCTCCTACTGGGCTCTGAAGTTGTGTAGGTGCAGGGTGGAAAGAAATACCTTGATAGAGTTGAAGAGTTAACTTCTTAAATCGTTAGTTGTGGACAGATGTAACCCTGTTTTCTTAAGGGAGTCTGTGACACAGAAATGCAGAAAGAGTTCTGAGGAAGAGCAACTGGGAACAAATCTTTGTTTCTAGTTCTTCTTATGTTCTCTCTGCGAGATTCAGAATAACACATATGGAAGCATTTCTTTTTCAGGAAGACGAGTGTGCCGGCTGCACAGATGGAACCTTTAAGGGGACGCGGTATTTCACCTGTGCCCTGAAGAAGGCGTTGTTTGTGAAGCTCAAGAGCTGTAGGCCTGATTCTAGGTTTGCATCACTACAGCCGGTCTCCAATCAGATTGAGCGCTGCAACTCTTTAGGTATCTCCCTGCCTTTCAATTCTTTACCAATCTAGAGCGACTCTAGTTGTGACTTATATAATTTTGCATTCAAGTGGCAGTGATAACATTGAAATATTCCACTAAGCTTTTAAATCAGTAAAAATTATTGGGGTATAAGAACATTCCTGTGGATTCACTGATCATTAATATCCATCTAAGGAAAATTTTTAAAACATGTTTGGGACTTCATAAATATTTTAAACGAATAGTACTTATTTGTCTTTTCCTGTTGATTGTTATTACTATTAGCAGCTGTTCAGGTGTTCATTTTCAATCGTCAGGAGGTAGAAATTGAAATATGACCTCCTTTTGGGCACTGATTTTAGTTTAATGAATGATTTAAGTACATTAATGAGCATACCCTTTATCAAGAAATCTTTATCAAGAAACCCTTTATCAAGAAATACAGGAATTAGTTTTAATACAGTTGATGAAGGCATATCACTTCTAATAGGTAGCACATGCTTGATGCTGTTTCCCAGCTTTGGATAATAGTGGTGAAACGTCTTAAAGGTTCCCTCCTCATTGCTGCTGGGTTGGAACCGAGTCATGGCTGACCGTCCATAAATCGCATTGGAGGAGATTGCTCACCCATCTCTTGGGGAACAGCTGGTGGGTGGATTTGAACTGCCTGCCTTTGACTTGGCAGCACAACTCCTTACCCACGAGGCCACAAGAGCTCCCTTTATAAGGGTTAAAGATATATAAATAGAAAGCCATATATATTAAAAATACTTTTAATTACACTTGTACAAATAGTACTTGGAAATTATTTTTCAGTTATTTTCAAACTTGGAGCATCTTTGAACAAATAATAAAATGTGGGGAGATATGGCAGTTTTTTAGCATTTAATGTAATAAAATATTTTTTAAATTGTGGAGGAAACAACGTTGAAAAGAAAAGTGAAGGTGTTCTTTTTTTACAGTTCAGACTGATTAAGAATCAGCAAGAACCTACCTTTAAGTTATTTTTTTTGTTGCAAAACAAACTTTACATCAGACTTTGAAATATATTTCAAATCAAAAGGTGTGTATAGGATTCTTTCATTTTCCTTTTTATCTTTTTAGCATTTGGAGGCTACTTAAGTGAAGTAGTAGAAGAAAATACTCCACCAAAAATGGAAAAGGAAGGTTTAGAGATAATGATTGGAAAAAAGAAAGGAATTCAAGGTCATTACAATTCTTGTTACTTAGATTCCACTTTATTCTGGTAAGTTTCAAATTAATGCAACAGGAGATACAGCAGTATCTTGGGGATAAGGCACCGAGTGTGTGTGTACATACATATGTAAAAGAAATGACTGACGTACCACTGGTTGAGAAACTGGATGGCTGGAGAAGAAAAAGAAAAGAATATTTATTTGTCATTTTATACTCTGCAGAATATATTGAGTGTTGTTTCATTTGTCTATGTCTGAAAAACGAATATAAAGGTAATGTAAAGATGTGTAAGAGGTGAATGATAATGTTGTGAGTGGACCAGATATACTGACGGTTTCTGAGCAATTATGTGAGTGAAGAAAAGAAGTATGGAAGTCTTTGTGTGTACGTTAATAGCAAGACTTACAATAAGGCAATGCCAAGAGTATGCTGTATTTGTTTTACAAGATAAAGGCAATCAGAAGATGACTTTACATTCAAGAATTGTTTTCAGAGATATGTTGTTATGTGCCATCGAGTTTCTTGCGACTCATAGCGACCCTATGTACAACAGCCCTAAACTCTGCTCTGTCTTGTGCCATTTGCACCATCTCCGATACACCCGTCCCGATTACCCCAGTCACTGAATCAATCCACCTCATAGGGGGCCTTACCCTCCTGTGCTGTCCCTCCACCCTACCAAGCATGATGTCCCTCTCCAAGGAGCTGTCTCTCCTTGCAACATGTCCAAAGTATGTTAGACAGAGCCTCAGAATCCTTACCTCCAAGGAGCAGCCCGGTTTGACCCTTCCCAGGATGAATCTGTTTGTTTTCCTAGCAGTCCATGGTACCCTCAGTACTCTTCTCCAGTACCACAGCTCAAAGGCATCAATTCTTTATCCTCCTTAGTCATTGTCCAACTCTCTGATGCATAACAAGTGATAGCAAAGACCATGGCCTGTATCAGACGCACCAAGTTGCTCACCAAGTTTTGCCAAGAAATCTGGAGAACAACCACTTGGCCAACTGACTGGAAGAGATCTATATTTGTTCCCATCCCAAAGAAGGGTGACCCAACAGAGTGTGGAAACTATAGAACAATATCCTCATGCAAGCAAGATTCTACTGAAGATTATCCAAAAACGACTGGAACAGCACATCAGCAGAGAACTGCCAGAAGTCCAGGCTGGGTTTAGAAGGGGTCGTGGTACTAGGGATATTGTACCTAATGTTAGTTGGATCTTAGCTGAAAGCAGGGAATACCAGAGGAATGTATATCTGTGTTTCATTGACTATGCAAAGGCGTTTGACTGTGTGGATCATAACAAACTGTGGCTAACTCTGAGAAGAATGGGAATCCCAGAACACTTGATCATGCTAATGCGAAACCTATACTTGGACCAAGAGGCAATCGTCAGAACAGAGCAAAGAAACACTGCGTGGTTCAAAATTGGGAAGGGCGTACACCAGGGATGTGTCCTGTCTCCATACCGTTTCAATCTGTATGCAGAACAGATTATCCGGGAGGCTGGGCTCTATGAGGAGAAATGTGGGGTCAAGATTGGTAGAAGATCTATCAACAATCTGCGATACGCAGATGATACAATCCTGCTTTCAGAGACACACACACACACACACACACACACACACACACACACACGTGTATATATATAAATCTTAGTGTTATTATTTACTATAATAGCTTAATATAACAATCTGTAGACTTTGAAAATGGAACTACGGATGGTGTCAATTCAGTTTTGTGTAACCTGCCAGTAAAGGCAACTGTGTCCAAAAAGGAAGATATTACTATGTTAAACTGTTTAAAGGAGAACGAAAAAGAAAACTGGCTGGCTGTTGTGGGGCAAATATGTACAGTGTCTTAGATGTGTTGATAAAAATAAACCTTACAGCATTAAGGTAATATTCTTTAGATTTCCTGATAAAAATCTGTACTACTTAAATTTTCATTTTCTTAGTTACCAGCAAGTTGCTGATGTTAGTCAGTGATGTTGGTGATTTTGACATTTAAACTTAGACCCTTGCGAGAGGGTATGGGGAGAGAATTCCTAGAGGTTATTATACTTGGGTATGTGCCTGCCTTGGGAAATGGCAGTTACTTGTTTCTACCTTGACTCAGTTTTTTGGAATTCCTTTCCATTTTTGCAATGAAGTTTTCTTTCTTAATATACCAAACCCGTGGCCGTCAAGTCAATTGAAGCTTAGAATAGAAACTCATATGTGTTCCAAGGCTGTAAGTTTGTTAGGCAGCAGACTGCCCATCTTAATCCACAAAGCTGCTATTGGCTTTGAAATGCTGACCTCTCAATTTTATCCTTTACTGGTTACAGCCTATAGTTTACCTTCTTGATATTAATATTCTTCTAAACCTGGGAAGTTGGTAAAAATTGGACCATCAGAATCTCAACAAGGGCCTTAGAGCAAAGTGCTAATGTTATTTGTTCACTAAACTTTGCTTTTTTCACTTATGATTATTTTAAAGCACCTGTTTCTCAAGAAAATAGTGTGTTTTCAACTTGAGAATGAATGGTTTGGTTTTTTTTTTTTCTTTTGCAGCTTATTTGCTTTTAGTTCTGTACTGGACACTGTGCTACTTAGACCCAAAGAAAAGAATGACGTAGAATATTACAGTGAAACTCAAGGATTGCTGAGGACAGAAATTGTTAATCCTTTGAGAATGTAAGTAGAAGATACAGAGTTATTTTCTCATTTTAGTTGGTGCCCTGCTTGCTTTTCTTTTCACTCATTAGTTTTCCACAGTTGATTAACTGTGTAAAAAGTTTGCAGACAGTGTGGGGCTGTCAAAGTGTGACCTTCAGAAGGGGTAACAATTCCTGTCAACCGTATCCACAGTACAAAACTGATTTCCTTGAGGCCAGACATGTCCACACATCCCTACATCTGTTTCCACCAGTTCTAACACCAGTTGTTCCTCTCAGAACTATTCCTACTCTTTTACTGGGCATGAAATCCATTGCAATAGCCACACAGACCTTACGGAACCATACTCATGGTTATGGGGGTTTATTAGGTAAATTCACAGGCTTTGATTCAGATTGGCAGTGGGATTCAATTCCTCCGTAAGGACAGCTTCTCGAACACGTTCGCAGGGCCTTTGAGCATCATTCTCACAGCTTAGGTCAGTATTACAAAGCTCTCTTCATTCTGCCAATTTTGGAATTGCCCCTAGGCTTCCAGCAGGCTTCGGTGAAGGTCCCTGGCTTAATGTCTCTTAAATAGGGATTTTAAAGGACGTAGTTTTCTATGGTCCTTGTCCATCTCCAAGACAGCCCTGCCTTGCGTTGGTCTCTCCACTATTGCTGCTTTCCTGTCGGTCCAGCTCTGGCTGGGGCAGGAGCCCCTCAGACCTTGAAGGACGTGCATTGCAGTCTCTGATTGTTTGCTGGTAGTTAGATTACCAATTTCTGCCACTGAAGCTGCTCAATTTAAAGCCGACAAGATGACAAAACTGGCCAATATCCTCATGGATAGACAACACACCCTATTTTCATCTCTCCAAGCTGTTTAGTAAAAGTTAAAGGCAGTGGCCTAGAAAAGTCATTTTTAACAATAAACACACTGCAACACACTGCCCTTCATGGGCCACAATTTGTTTTCTTGCCCCCGCCCCCAACTTTTGGTCATTCTACCTCCTTTGCCTATTAACTTACTTAAATTTAGCCAACATTTAGTACATAGTGTTTGGCATGAAATAGTAAGCAGTTTGGTACAATATATTCTAATTTTAGAAACTGCAGTAGGTTTAGAAAAGGTAGTATAGTATTTGGAATTCTTCTGAAATAGTTCATACCTGTGTTATCCTTAACACTATTCATGTTTATTAGTCAAATTGGCATAGTCTGGCTTCTTAACCTTAATTTTATCTGAAAAAAAAGAGAACCAGGAGAAAATTTTATTTATAGACTAGTTAATTGTCTATATTATAGTTATGTCTATATTAGACATAATTGGATGTACTTTAGGAAAACATCTCTTAGTTACAAGAGTACATTTAGATTCCTTTCCCTAAAAAGATGATTTTTCTTTCTTTTCATTTCTTAGTTTAGGAATGATAAATATGTCTTTCTCTGTTCATAAGAAGTAGTTTATAATGGTACAGGGCAAGTGACAGCTTACATCTCGAAGTTAGAGGCAGTACGGTTGATGCAGGATAGAGCAGGGTTTAGGGCTGTTGTGCATAGGGTCGCTATGAGTTGCAAACGACTCGACAGCACATAACAACACAACAACAACAATTTTTTATTATTGTTTTTGTGTGTGTGTGTACCATCAAATCGGATCTGACTGGTACAGGAGGAGATTGTTCCTTCTTCTCCAGCAGAGCATCTGGTGGATTCGAATGGCACACCTCTGGGATTGTAGTGCAGCTTCTTGCCACTAGGCCATCCATCAGAGCTCGCCTCAAAATTATTTTTGATAAGAAGTTTATGTGAAAAAAACATCACATTACCTCTTTAAATTGGGGTGCATTAGGAATTAGGGCAGTAGATCATAAATCAAATTTGTTTATTTAAGAATCTAGAGAGCAAACTATGTAATTTAAAATTCCTATTTAAGAAAGCATTTAAAATTTTTGCCATACTATTTGGTTTAACAAATAAAAACTAGTTTGATCGGAGATTTTTACCAGAGTCCCCAATTCCTGAAATGTAACGAGCACTCCTAATTTCTTACTTTATAAAATGGCTGAGTTGTCAGGAAGGGCCAGCTCTTGGAAAAAGTTACCATACTGGGGATGATTAATTGATGTCATGTGTAAGAAGTTTGTGGACAGTGTGGGGATGTCCAGATCTGACCTCCACAAGGGAGAACTTCCCGTCAACGATATCCAGAAGTACAAAACTGCTTTCCATGCGGTCAGTCATGGAAATGTCAGTGAGTCGTAGAAAAGAGAACACACTCCACTCACAATGGGGTGAGTGTGGCGGAGATGATGAGGAAGGTGGGGTGACACAGGACAGGGCGAGGTCCGAACTGTGGTTCACAGGACCACTGTGAGTCATGGGCGACTTGATGGAACCTCCCAACAACAGCTTGACAGGACAGTAAGTTAAAAAGGAACACAGTTTTATGCTTGTATCAGTAATTTTTCTAAAATTCTGAAATGATCAAAATCACTGTAGTTTTTCTCTTATCTTAGAGATAATTATGAATCTTGATTTTTCCATCAATTATTTTTTCAAAATTTTTTAAATTTTGTTAGTTTTTTGTGTGTGTACCGTCAAATCGGATCTGATTGGTACAGGAGGAGATTGTCCCTCCTTCTCCAGCAGAGCATCTTTTGGATTTGAACCATGCACCTCTGGGATTGCAGTGCAGCTTCTTGCCACTAGGCCACCAGAGCTCACCAACCATCAATTATTGTTATCATATACAACTTTTTAAGCATACAGTTTCTTTCTTCAGTATTTGATGCCACATCAGGATAAGTCAAATCAAGAATTCTGAAGCATGTTAACGTCCTTCCTTCTAAAACATCACTAGCCAATTAATGAACATTCTTTGAATGCAGTTATTCAGCCAGTTAAGAATCCTGACATTTTGCTAACCGCCCTCAGTCATAAACTTCCAAATGCCCTTTTGTGCACAAGAGTCCTATATCTACAAAATACATATCTGTGTAACAATGGACTGGTTTCCTCTGTTACTGAAATCTCTGCTTTCTCTGTTGTAAGGCAGAATTCTTGTCTTTTTTTAATTTTACCACCAGTGTAGTTGGAAGCAGGAGTGGCATCCACTTCCTAAACAACATGCCTCTGGAAACGTTATGAACTTTGAATAGCGAGGATAGTTACAGAAAGGCTTCATTCAGGTCTTTCGTCCAGAGGGTCACTGTGAGTGGTGCTTGACGGCCATCAACAATAGCAACCAGTGTTAGAGTACTTTTTGTGGGGTAGATACTCAATAGATGTTGGTTGTGATGACTGAGTGGTCATTATAAAAATTGAATACTTTAGCTAATTCTGACGTGCTCTTAAGTCCCTGGTGACTTTGAAGCCTCTTTTGAAGCCATTTTAGAATTTTGTCAAAAATTGTTGTTAAATGTATTAAATGCTTCCTATGTGCTTGTTTACATATTGTAAGAAAACATAATTGCAGTAATTGCTGTGATCTCAAATTTTGGACTTAATCTATTCCATTTCCTGTTCCGTTACTGGTTATTTTAGCCTTTATTATTAAAATGCTTTCTCATAATTGTATACCATATTTTTCATATTCTCCATATTTTCATAAGGGGACTAGAAGAATTTTTTAATGCCAAGCAAATTAAGGTACTATGCTTATGCAAATGCCTTAGGACAAAGACATGGCTGGCAGGAATTTTACAGAGTACTTGATGTTTGTATAAAAACATTGTTTTATAATGTAAATACTTTCTTAGACAAGTAGTATTAAACACAAGTCATAATTTGTCCTTATTTTTTCTTCTAGTAAAACATTACAATTGTTTTTAGATATAATAGTGTCTAGAATACTTCTCGTTCTAGATTTTTAACTTTTCTAACTTCAAGAAGTCTGGATTTATATTTTTAAAAGTAATTATCTAGGCCTATGGGATGCTGGAACTGTATAACAGATACGTGTTGATTAAGATATGCTGGCTAATGTAATGTCACTCATTGACTCCCTCACTGCCCTCAGATTGGTTCTTCTCAGAGCAACCCCCCCATTGGTATGCTGAGGCTATAAATTACACTAGGAGGAGTCCACTTGTTTTACTCCCAAGGAAGCACCAGAGAAGTGTAGCTGTTGGGTTCGTAGCCCAACTCTCTGTGGGCTACTCTACTAAGAAAGAGCTGCAACTTCAATTAATGAGTGTGTTTATATTATTTTATTTTTATTGTATTATTTTTACGTGTACCGTCAAATCAGATCTGACTGGTACAGGAGGAGATTGCCCCCTCCTTCTCCAGCAGAGCACCTGGTGGATTTGAACCGTGTATCTCTGGGATTGCAGTGCAGCATCTTGCCACTAGGCCACCAGAGCTCCCTTAATGAGTGTTTTTTTACTAACAGATACGGATATGTGTGTGCCACAAAAATTATGAAACTGAGGAAAATACTTGAAAAAGTTGAGGCTGCATCTGGATTTACCTCTGAAGAAAAAGGTGACTGTCTTAACTCATATGCTACGCAGTGAAAAGAACTTAAACACTTACGCTACGTGATTAACTGGAATATGTGTGTATGGTCTTGGAGTTGATTTTAAATTAGAACTTTCTTTTTACATGATGTGCAGTTTCCTTCACTTTTTGCAAATACTTTTTCTCAAAGTAAATTATTAGACTGAGTAATAAAAACTAGAAGCAGCTGACTGGGTCTAGGACATGACATGAGTCAGAAGCTCTTTCCTTCTCTCTAGTAATGATATTCTGAGTTTTGTTTATGGTTAGTGTTTTTGTCTGTTCAAAGCTGATGAATTTATTCAGAGATTGAACTTGATCGCAATACACTGTAATTACATGTAATTTCTTGAAGTGTGAGAGTTATTTAAAAAGCAGGAAAAAGCTTAGGGCCATTCTTCTGGCTTTATTCCATCCTCCTTGTCTCCCCAAATATTATTTGTCTACAAGTAAATCATTATGACCCTTCAAATGCAAAGAAATAAAATTGAAACAGAATACTTTATTACAACCCTTGAATGGCCTTTGTATTTTTCTTTTGGAAAAGATACTGTTCATTAAAATAACATGATAAAATTTACATCAGTATAGACATGCCAGTATAAATATAGAAATTATATTTTAGATTTTATCTGTAATTGATTTGATTTTTCATATTTTCCTAGATCCTGAAGAATTCTTGAATATCCTGTTTCATCATATTTTAAGGGTAGAGCCATTGTTAAAAATAAGGTAATTTTGAACTTTTTTTAGAAGCATAGGGAAGATAAAGAGTCCTTATGGAATTGCCATTATTTAGTAGAAATTGCTTCCTTTGTAGAAATTGCTTCCTTTGTGACTGATTACTAGTTTATGTGTTTAGTAACTTAATTTTCTGGGGTATGTTGTTAGATGCCATCGCATATGACTGGGGTAAGTATAATATATATTCATTCTTTAGTAATCATTTTTCACTCCAGAGTACTACATTTAACTTGAAGAATGAATACAATATAAGTTTGTGCTTTTAATTTTAACCCAGGAATTAATATCATTGACAGTAATTGTTTATGAAACCTGATATAAATATTTTTGTAACGGAAGTTAACGGACCCTTTGTTGTTTACCGTTGACTCAGAATCAACCCATAATCACTGACCCTCCAGCAGGTTTTCAGAGGCAGTTTAATAGCACAGGAGTAGATTGCCCATTTTCTCCCACGGAGCAGCTGGTGAATTTGAACTACGGGCTGCTGCTTGGGAAGGGCCCCCAGGGGCGGCTCGCTCTGTCATGGGCACAGGATTCAGGCCTGGGGGCACAAGGGCCATGGACCACTTCCCTGAGGTGAAGGTGGCAGAGCGGAGGGGAAGAGGCAGAGGTTGCACGTCAGTTTGTTTTTTATTTGGTTTTTGTTGTTGTTGGGGATTTTTTTTAAAGGTATTTACAATGAATAAAATCATTAACTGAAGAATTCAGTCATACAATCTCCAGCCTCATTTCTATTGCCAAATCTACAGTTTCTAATTACTGGTCCTTTTTATTTGTCCCCGACTTTTGCATTCCAGTCACCCATTATTATCAATGAACTTGATTGCATGTTTGATGGGCAAAATCTTGAATGACCCAGGAAGTATCAAAAGAAGAGGAAGGAGGCGTACACAGAGTCACTGTATCAAAAAGAATTGTCTGACACAGAGTCATTTCAGGAAGTAGCATGTGCCTGAGAACCACTGCTGATGAGGAAAGAAGCTCAAGCTACAGGGAAGGAAAAAATAAGGCCTAAAGTTAATGGGATACTACTTGGCATGTTTCAACAACAAATGCAACACCATGTCCACTATCACCCCTCTTTTCAGATATTAGCCCATCTTCTCTAGATGCTTTCTGGGTCATTCAAAATTTTGCACATAGCATCTCTAAATATTGCAACTCAGGGCTTGAACTTGTCTTTCAGTTCTCTCAGCTTGAGAAATGCCAAGTGAGTTCTTCCCTTTTTATTCTCCAGGTCTGGCTCTCTGCATAGTCCGTTATGCCATTTTGTTTTGTCTTCTTGAGCTGCCCTTTGAAATCTTCTGTTCAGTTCTTTTACTTCAGCATCTCTTCCCCTTGTTCCCTTGTCCACTAGGCCACCTTAAAGTGGAGCTGACCTTAGTGGTGCAGATGGAATAAATCTTTCAGCACATTCACTTGCTATGTTGAATGGTTCAGAATGAGAAGAGAGAGCAGCTATTATTACTAACCAGAATTTGAAAATGTACAAAGTGTGAATGTAGGGAAATGAGAAGTAAAAAATGAAAAGGAATGCAGAAAGATTGATATTCTAGGCATTTATGAGTTGAAATGAACTGGTATTGGCCATTTTGGATCATTTTGAATGTGATCTACGAAGTTGGAATGACAACTTGATGAAGAATGATGTTACTGTATTCTCTGTTAAAAAGAACGTTTTAAGATCTATTCTCCAATACAGCTCTGAATGATAGGATAACATTCATATATCTTCAAGGAAGACCAGTTAATAAGACTGTTACTCAGATTTGCCCACTGACTGCTAATGGCAAAAATGAAGAAATTGAAAAGTACTACCAACTTCTGGTAGTCAGAAACTGATTGAATGTGTGGTCAAGATGCATTGATAATTATTGGACATTTAAATGTAAAGTTAGAAACTAGGAAGGATCAAAGTTGAACAGTATGGGCTTGATGATAGAAATGTTGCCAGAACATCACAACACACAGGCCACCACAGTGCAACAATCTCACAGATGAGTGGCAGGGCCACAGTTAAAGGAGTTGGGCTTACAACACATATTTTTGGAGGATATATAGTTAAATCCATTACACTGATGGTAACCTATTATGTTTTCCTCCCTGGACTTAAAGGAACTTACATCATAAAAATTGAAACGCAAATTATTTTAAAGTTGCCATGCTTCTAAGTTACTGTCTTTCTCAACTGGTGTTGATCTAATGTTGTACTGTCAATTTTATCATTTTTATAATCTTGAATATAAGTGGTGCAACTTTGCATTTTAATTACACACTTAAAGAAAAATTTATTGCATTTGTCCTGCATGTTTTTTTAGGTCAGCGGGTCAAAAAGTACAAGATTGTTACTTCTATCAAATTTTTATGGAAAAAAATGAGAAAGTTGGAGTTCCTACAATTCAGCAGTTGTTAGAATGGTCTTTTATCAACAGCAATTTGAAATTTGCAGAGGTTGGTGACAATTGACTCAACTTTTCTAAAAAAATGTTTTATATTGGTTTGCTTGTAAATTCGTGTACAGTGTGTTTCACACTAGACAGTTATTTTCTTAATGTATGCTGTTCTTGATGTCATTCCACAACCAATGTGTCTGGTATAGTGTTTCAACTCTGTTCTTATGGAAAATGTGCAGAATTAATATTTAACTTTTAATGCCAAAAATAATACCAAGATAGTTTATAACTTGAAAAGTCTTAAGTAGCTTTTAAAGTGAAAGGAAGATTTGTACTTATTTTTTTGAATTGGTTTTCATTCAGTCACTCATACACATTTCATCTTATAATAATAATTGTAATTGTAAAATGCCTTTATTTAGATTTGTGTCTGTTTAAGAGAACTACTATGATCTCTTTTTACTTCATCAATATTTTTTAAAAAATTTTAAGGAAATTTTTGCCTAAATATATCAAAAGAATGTTTCATTTCCCCCTATAATAATAGTAAACACTTATATAAAAGTTTGTTAATGAATAATAGAAATTATTTTTTAAAAAGCTTTTCTCCATGTAAAGGCATTCGAGTTTTATACAGTCTTCCATTTTCATTGTATTTTGTTCATGTATATTGTGGAAATTATCGAACAATAGCACTAATATCACATGCATGCAAAATCCTGCTGAAGTTTATCCAAAAAGACTGGAACATCAGCAGAGAACTACCAGAAATATAGGCTGGGTTTAGAAAAGGCTGTTGCACCAGAGACATTATCACCAATGTCAGATGGATCTTGGCTGCAGGTAAAGAGTACCAGAGGAATGTGTTTCATTGACTATGCAAAAGCATTTGACTATGGATCACAACAAATTGTGGCTAACCTTGAGAAGGATGGGAATCACAGAACACTTGATTGTGCTCATATGAAACCTATACTTGGACCAGGAAGCAGTGGTCAGCATAGAGCAAGGAAATCCTGCATAGTTCAAAATCAGGAAAGGAGAGCGTCAGAGACGCTTCCTGTCTCCATATCTTTCCCGTCTATAAGCAGAACAGATCATTCAGGAAGCTGGACTTTATAAGGAGGAATGTGTCATCAGGATTGGAGGAAGATTCATCAACAATCTGTTATGCAGATGACACAACCTTGCTTGCTGAAACTGAGGAGAACTTAAAGCAATTGCTGCAGAAGGTCAAGGACTGCAGTCTTCAGTATGGATTGAAGCTCAACATCAAGAAGATTTTCTCCACTAGGCGAATTGGCAACACCATGATAGATGGAGAAGAGATAGAAGTTGTTAACGATTTCAGCTTGCTTGTTTCACTCCTGGCACCAGCAGTCAAAAAATCAAAAGACAGGTTGCTCTGGAAAAGGCTATTGTCTGGAACCTCTCAGAAATGCTGAAGGGCAATGATGTCAGTCTAGATACTAAGGTACGCCTGATTCAGGCCAGGGTCTTCACAGTTACTTGCTATGCATCAGAGAACTGGACTCTGACCAAAGATGACAGAAGAATTGATACCTTTGAGTTGTGGTTCTAGAGAAGAGTAATGAACATACCATGAACTGCCAAGAGAACAAACAGGTTTATTCTGGAGAGGGTGAAACCAGCCTGCTCCTCGGTGGTAAGGATTTTGAAGCTCCAGCTCACATACTTTGGGCATGTGGCCAGAAGGGACCAGTCCTGGAGGAAGGATATCATGCTTAGAAGGTGGAGGGATAGTGCAGGAGAGAAAGACTCAGATGAGATGGATTGACACAGTAACTGGCATAATGGGGGTAGGTGTGTTGGAGACAGTGAGGCTGGCTCAGGATAGAGCCGAGTTCAGAGGTATTAAGCGTAGGGTTGCTGTGAGTCACAAGAGACTCGATAGCACGTAACAACAATATTGTGGGGTTCTTTTCCTCTTACAGTCCTCTTAATAACTACATTTGTGAAAGCATACAAGCCAGCTACTTTATGCCTCAGGCCCTAGTAATTCCCTTTTTGATAGTCAATTGATGATTTGCCCATCCCTGTCAAACTCTGAGGGAACAAGCATGCCCCTTGTCCTGAAGCATCTTCTGTTCAACTTGGAAACTTTGAGCATCTACGTCCACAAGCGAAGTCCAGTCTAGAGCAAGCCGTCAGGTTGCAGCTTTCGACCTTGACTCACAGCAAGCATCACCTCTTCATCTGGTTGGATTCTGGTCAACTCACCCCCAGCCATCCCTAGCTAGGTGCTGATGGGTATCAGCTGCCAGCTCAGGAGCCCTCACTTCTCCCTGTGTGCCAGACCTGTGGGCCGCCTCACCCAGAACGAGCCCCGACACGGGGCCAAGTGATCAAGCCAGGGGTCCTCCTGACTCCCTGCTCCTCAAACGAGTAACCCCTCCCTGCTCGTCCTCACATCTGGGCATGCTCAGTGTGCCGCCCTGAAGGACCTGGTCCAAGCTCAGCCTTGTTTCTCCGTTGTTGTATTCCTCCGTTTCCTGTCCTGTGGAGCAAGGCGATCAAGTGCATGGCATACTCCACGCTCAGGGCTTGGAAGGGGGCTCTCATGGATGCCAAGTTCACCCGACTCACGCCAGACAGCTTGCTCCAATTTGAAAAAGACAGCCACTGCCTTTTTGTTTTCCCTTCTCTTCTATCCTGTTTGCCCCTCTTTCAGATGAGAATCTCTTCAGTCAGAAGGCCAGCGTGGGTCAACATTCAACTGGCAAATGGCAGTGTGCTGAGTGGTATTCAGTCTTTCCCCTTGACCACACCCCAATCCCCTACCAGATTCTACTTCTAACAATCTTATCTCTAGAGAATATGGTCCCTTTAGTACTTTCACTCAAGTCCAGCCAAAGGTGAAACTACACACTTCCCAAATCTATAATATCTAGCGTTCATTTATATCATACATTTTTTCTATCCTCCTCCACTTTTTAAAAATTTTTTTAAAATTATTTTTATTATTTTTGTGTGTGTACCATCAAATTGGATCTGACTGGTACAGGAGGAGATTGCCCCTCCTTTTCCAGCAAAGCATGTGGTGGATTTGAACCACGTACATCTGGGATTGCAGTGCAGCTTCTTGCCCCTAGGCCACCAGAGCTCCCTAAAACCTCGTCCACTTTTTTGAAATTTATTTGCATCTAACCCTCATACACGATGCTTTATCCATGCACATTGTGCCCCTCATAGTCCCTCACACACACTGTACTTCATACAATTAACTACCGACTATGTCTGTTATCATGCTTTTCCCCCAGGACCCCAGTGAGCCTCCCCCGACTCTGTCTTTGCACTCCCCGTCAACAATATCTTCGTGTTAGTAGTGCATGCTTATGGTTTATTTTTACTGTGTTCGTTGCTAAAGGAATGTGTTACATTTATAACAGCCAGTTATGCATTTGTTGAGACAAGAAATAGACTTCTTTAGTAATGACAGTTTGAGATGATACTTACATAACCATTTTCTCTAATGCCTTGATTAAATACAGACCCAAAATAAAACGTCCGTGCAGATAGTCACTGTATTATCTGACACCCACATTTCTTTAATACTTTGCCTCTCGCTGATTAGTGTGTCCGTGAGATAGAGGAGTACTTGCACACGTGGGGCCCACTGGGGCTCTTCTTCTGGGTCATGGGCCCCCCTGAAAATACAGTCTCCCAACAGTACAGTGAAAATGACTCGTTGGTTTGACGGTGTGATTATTTCAATTTCATAGGGAAATCTTTTTTTTTTTTTTAAGCAACTTTCTTTCTGAAAGTATATTTTCTTTTTAGGCACCATCTTGTCTTATTATTCAGATGCCTCGATTTGGAAAAGACTTTAAACTGTTTAAAAAGATTTTCCCTTCTCTGGAATTAAACATAACAGATTTACTTGAGGACAGTAAGTATCAGATATTTTAGTTTCTTTTATTTTTTAGAAACTCTCAGGTCATTATCATTCATGTGAATAAGATTATGACTAGATACAGTCCTTCCAGAAGCAAGTTGGTAGCTGAAGAGCCTTGAAATACTAAGCCAGCGTTTCACTTCGAGGACCCCCTCAGGGGCATAAGAGTGTAGTGCTGGTCCCCTGACTGAGATTGGTGATTCAAACCCACGAGCCCCGAATCAGGAGATGAGAGGTGGTGATCCGTTGGTACAAAGATTGCAGCCTACAAGGCACATGAGGTAGTTCTACTCTGTCATGTGGACTTGCCAAGAGTTGAAAGTGACTTGATGGCATCAGGTAGAAATTTGACTCCGGGGAGTTTGCTTGGAGGAAATGAAAAATGGATATTCTGTGTGCGGACATATTCATTATAACATGATTAATATATTAGAAACAACTTCAATATTAATGATGGCCAGAGCTAAATTAGTTGTATTTGTACTTTGAAACTACTGCCATTAAGTTTTGTTTCAGAAGACCAATGTGTATAAAAATGATCATGATACAGTGGTAAGAGAAAAGGTAAAATACGTTCAGACTTTCCACAGCAGGATCAGAATATTTAAACACAGAGAGAGAGAGAGAGAGTTATATAAATATGAAGATAGAATATTATTGGAGAGAATGCAGCACAGTTAATACTTCGTTCATAATTAAAATTGCCAATGCTTTTTATTATTTTGTGTCCTTTAATCTTTTATTAAAAATTATAATTTACTTTGAAAATTGTTGTTGTTATGTGCCGTCGAGTTGCTTGCGACTCATAGTGACTCTATGTGCAACAGCCCTAAACTCTGCTCTGTCCTGTGCCAATCTCACTATCTCCAACACACCCAACCGAATTACCCCAGTCACTGAATCACTCCACCTCATAGAGGGTCTTCCCCTCCTGCACTGTCCCTCCACCCTCCCCAGCATGATGTCCCTCTCCAAGGACTGTCCCTCCTTATAACATGTCCAAAGTATGTTAGACGGAGCCTCAGAATCCTTGCCTCCAAGGAGCCGCCTGGTTTAACCCTTTCCAGGATGAATATGTTTGTTTTTCTAGCAGTCCATGGTACCCTCAATACTCTTCTCCAGCACCACAGCTCAAAGGCATCAATTCTCCTTCTGTCCTCTCTAGTCGTTGTCCAACTCTCTGATGCATAATAAAATTAGGGAGGAAAAAAGCCCCACGCTATTTTATTTGTGAGCAAAAGATGTCCTTCAGGATATCCTAAATTCAAGGCTCTCCCACAGTAGATTTCTAAGAACAGGAGAGAATGAACTGTTTGAGCCTATGAACTTTACCCTTTCATTAGCATAACTTCTTTCTGAGTTTTAAACAAAAGACTACATTTTAAAGGCACCTCAATCCCCCTCCCCTCGCCACCGCTGTAGCTCCCAGGCAGTGCCGGATCTGTGGGGGCCTTGCGATGTACGAATGTAAGGAGTGCTATGATGACCCTGACATCTCATCAGGAAAAATCAAACAGTTCTGCAAAACCTGCAACAACCAGGTAAGTGCGCTTTACGTATTTGCTTGTTCTTGTTGAATGTTGTTGTTGTTGTTAAGTGCTGTTGAGTCACAGGTGACTCATAGCGACCCTATGAAGGAGAGTCCTTGATGCTTGGGTGCCTTTCATCCTCTCTCCAAGTTCATAGGGTGTCCGGAGGCAAGCTATTATGGAAGTGGACGCCACTCCTCCTCCTCCTTCTTGTTGAATAGTTAGGTTTTATTTGTACTCCAAGCAGAATTTAGGTTTGAAAACGCTTCCAAAATCACTTTTAAGATGTCGTCATAAGATGACACTGTGTATTCCTCTTCTGTTTCTCTCTTGGGCTTCAGTGCTGTATTTATCTGCTGCTCATAAAAGATGCATGAAGTAAGGGGTAGGGACGTGCACAGATTGGTGTCATGGAGTTGAGCTAATGTGCGGCACTCTCTACGTGTTCCATTTTAGGTCCACCTTCATCCTAAGAGGTTGAATCACAAATACAACCCAGTGTCACTTCCCAAGGATTTACCTGACTGGGACTGGAGACATGGCTGCATCCCCTGCCAGAAGATGGAATTATTTGCTGTGCTTTGCATAGAAACCAGCCACTATGTTGCTTTTGTGAAGTACGGCAAAGACGACTCTGCCTGGCTCTTCTTTGACAGCATGGCTGATCGAGATGGTATCTTTGACAATCTCCTTCTGCTTTGTGACAATGGTTTTCTTTCTTTTGTTGTTGTTGTTAAGTGCTCTCAAGTCAATTAAGATGCATAACTACCCTATGAATAACAGATTAAAAGCTCACGCTATCCTGTTCCATCCCCACAATCTCCATTGTATTGTAGTTATTTTGTCAGTCCATCATGTTGGAGGTCTGTCTTTCTCTTGACCCTCCACTTTTCCCAGTATTTTGTCATCTTCAAAGGACTGGTGTGTCCTGAGAACATGTGTGATTTACGGCCTCTCTCAACCCACTGGAGGGTCAGCTATGAGCTGGTTCTGACTCGACAAGCCAGAACAGCAGCAGCATGTGCTGTTACCACTTTTATACCTGGTCAAGAGCTAAAAAAGAAGATAACTTCTAGAAATCCCAAGTAAAATAAGGACTTGGATCCCGAGTTATCAAACTTTTCTAAATCATGCTGTTGTTATGTGCTGTTGAGTTGTCTGTGACTCATAGCGACCCTATGTACAACAGCCCTAAGCCCTGCTCTGTCCTGTGCCAATCTCACCATCTCCGACACACCTACCCCCATTACCCCAATCACTGAATCAATCCATCTCATAGAGGGTCTTCTTCTCCTGTGTTGTCCCTGCACCCTCCCAAGCATGACGTCCCTCTCCAAGTACCGGTCCCTCTTTGCAACTTGTCCAAAGTATGTCAGACGAAGCTTCACAATCTTTGCCTCCAAGGAGCAGCCCGGCTTCAACCTCTCTAGGACAAACCTGTTTGTTTTCTTAGCAGTCCATGCTATGTTCAATACTCTTCTCCAGCACCACAGCTCAAACGCATCAGCTCTTCTTTCTAAATCATAGGCTTGTGAAATTGCTTTGGGTGTTCCGAGGTAGCAAATTGGGGGCTAGAATTTCACAGCCCTAACAAGAAGTCTTCTTCTTTGTAGGTGGCCAGAATGGCTTCAACATTCCCCAAGTCACTCCATGCCCAGAAGTAGGAGAATACTTAAAAATGTCCGTCGAAGAGCTCCATTCCTTGGACTCCAGAAGAATCCAAGGCTGTGCGCGAAGACTGCTTTGTGATGCGTACATGTGCATGTACCAGAGTCCAACGATGAGCCTGTATAAGTGAACGGCATCCCCCAGATAGGTGAATAAACTGAGGCTAGAGTTTTAAGGTTGCATTTTACTTGAGCTGGCGGTTTTGTTCCCATCCATTGCCGGCAATGGATAACTTTGTGGTGAGAATCCCTCCGAAAAGGATTCCCGTATTTAAAAATCAATTGCTTTTGTGTTACCGAATTATTTAATAAGAAGCATTTTGCACTCTAGAAAATACGTTTGTGTTGGTTTTTTAAGACGTCTAAATGAAGTTATTAATACCTGAAGCTTTACGTTTAAGTGCATTGATCATAATGATATTTTTTGAAGCATAAAATTTTAATTGTGACAGTGTAAAACCTCTCTTAGTCCGTTGAGAATGTAAATAAATATGTCTTCTTTATGAACAAGGATGTGTAACCATTTTTCCTCTGTAGCTAATGGTGGCCTTAAGGAAGAAATCCTTTAGTTTGGTGAAGACTCTTTAATTTCCTTTTTAAAGTTGTATTGACTTCTTAACTCTTTCCAATATAGCACTGATTCCCGCATGTGTGCCATCTGCTGAGTTTCTGCAATAGTGGTTGGAAAAAAAATATTTAAATCCTGTGGTGGTGGTGTTTTATGTTTGTTCTGATTTTGACATAAATGAGTGATTTTTGTTACAAATGTCCATTTTTATTTATTTTTTTTTTAAATGTACGAGTAAGGTACCTACAGTCGAACCTCTTCATTCATGCTGTCAACCAACAACAGGTTTTTAGGACTCTCCAGTTGTTTTGTGGGACTGGACACAATGAGGTTTAAAAACGATGGGAGTAATAAGCGAAATGCTATATACCTACACAAATACCTGCCCCAAAAGACTATAAATTTGGCATCGAGAATTACTCATTAAAATGTCCCTAGAGAAGTATAGTCGATACTGAAATCTCTACTACTTTAAATAAAACTATCTCAAACTTAAACTTGATCAGCCAGCTAGTCCCCTGACTCAGTTTAGTTTTACTGGAGATACTGACTCTTTCTAATCATATTCTGCTGGAATGTTACCAGCTGCTTCATTTACCTTTTGAATAAACAAACAGAAAGTGAATGCTTTTTTAGCTAATATCCCTAGTATGTATATAGGCCACAAATGGATATTGTAGCCCAGAACCCTAGATTATAAATGTCTGTGCTGTGGAATGTGTGTTCTCTGAGTGTTGTTTCGTGGTATTAGTTTTCGAATGACTTTCTAACCATGCAGAGAGACAGAGGAGGTGTCCTGTGTATGCTCTGGCGTGTGACTTCACCAAATACTTAATGTGTAAAAAAATATATATATATATTAGAATCTTTACAAACCCTGCAATTTGAAAGGCACTTTCACCATTCAGTTTTATCATTTCATTTGACAGATGTTTATTAGTTTTGTAAAGCATAAGAAGGCAAAAGAAATAAATAAATTCATTTTATAATTTTTTGTTGTTTTAGAAATAAAAAGTACACAAATTTTGCATGAGGTTTTGTATGGCAAAGTTTGTGGATTGGTGTGTTGAGGTGGATACTAGATCAAGGTGTCAACTGGGGAGAGCCCTGGGCTGCAGCGTGGACCCTGCCTCCCTCAACAACAAAGACAGTGAATTCCTGAAAGAAAACTCATCTAAAGTCTCATAGTTCAGTCCATCCCAGGTCCAGGCATCACATAATATATGTGTTGAATATATACATCGATGAGTGAGTAGATCAGGAGGATTTCAGAAGTTTCCATCTGCAGGCATGAGTAGAAATGTACTTATAGTTAGAAATGGATTTAACACCTTTAAAAACCAGAAGAGAATATAGTTCTTTTCCTGTCGGTGTTTAAACAAAAGCTGTGGAAAATCTGTTCTTGTAATCTTTCTGTAGAAGATTTAAAGAAGATTTTGATGTACACTTAATAGGGAGGAATCCTTGGTCAAAGTATTTCTGGTATTTTCTTAAGATGGCATTTTTGTTGTCCCTTGAATGTTACTTTGGGGAGCGAACCTTCAGTAAAGAGATACCCAGGGTCTATCCTCAGTTGTTCCTGGGAGATGAGGATTCTTCCTTTGCTTCTGATGACCAGGAAGCCAGTCTGGAGGGCTTCTGTTCCATCTCTCTCTAGTGAGGCAGTTAATCGCACAGGAGGAGATTGCCCATCTTTCTCCAGAGGAGCAGCTGGTGACCTCGAACTGTGTGCCTTTGGGATTGCAGTGCAGCTTCTTACCACTAGGCCACCAGAGCTTTTCATAATTTATATTTGCCAAACATCATAAGAAATGATTTTCCGACCCTTTGGCTTCCATCCTTTGTTCCTCTTAAATTCAGCAACAAAGAGAAGACATGGTATTTAATCGGAGAGAACTTGTAATACCTCTCAGATTCCTGACTGCTTTACCGTGGCCCCTTTATCAATTCAAGAGTCATTACCCTCCTTGGCTGGCTCTCGAGGTCCAGCTGGGTGATCCTAAGCAGAGATGTGAGTGGACTAGAAGGCCTTGGTTGTGTGACCACAACTGATGGGTGTTCACTGAGCGTCTATGAAATCCCTAGGATTTTGCCAGAAGAGATACGTTCTTTTGTGTCCGAGACTGCTTAGTGTTACATGCATAGGTCTCAGCGCTGAGGGAAGACAGTGCAGTGTCACAGAATGTGGTGGCAGCCTGGATTCAAGCCCTTGCTCTGGGATCTCGAATGAGCATTCTCACTTTTGAAAAGTAGAAATTTTTGCATCTCAAGCCATGTCTTCTTGATCTGACTCTCCATGAATGGGATATAGGAAATTTGCTTGTAGTGAAAAGAAAAAAAATTTTTTTAACTAACCAGCCAAATTAGAACCAGCTTTAAAAACCACTGAACTAGAAGGTTTTAAAGATCCCTTCCCATTTTGTGATTTTATGATCATATAATATTATTTTACCACCTGCTCTATATGAGTAACTTGACATTTCTCATGTATTCTGTCCATTCACAAATGGTTTTATGTAAGAAATGCATTTTAGTATATGCACCACAAAGCCTCTTTTCTAAACGTTTCGGCATTCTTGGGAAAACAATTCTTAAGAAAATATTTGATGTTAGACATTTTTAATCCTCTTTTTTTTTTCTGCAGGAAATAGAACCTCTGGGAACCAAAGAAATGGGAATACAAAATTGTTATGTGAATCTTAGCAAAAAAATCTATTCTTTCTAATATGATGCAAGTTTTAACATTTTGTCAGAAGACTCTTCTCTCGGTGTGAAAGTTCTCTTGTCATAAAGTGAGATGGTTTTGTTGAAGTAGATAGACTAGAAAGCCTGTAATTAAAAATAAGACATACTTCTGTAGGAATTAATGATATTTCATAGAATACATTCATAGTTCTCAGCCAATGAAAAGAATACATAAGATCCCTGGAAGCAAGTGAGAGAGAAGTGGCAGAGAAAGAGATGCCAAAATGTAAAACAGAGTGGAGGAATAGAGAAGGTAAGCCTTAAAGCACTTGTTTGCGGGGTCACATGAAGGCACATTTCCCTGTCTCCAAGGGGCTTGTGCTACTCCTCAGAGACTGAGAGTTCAGAGAGTGACTTCCTGCAGGAATGTCGTTTGGGGCTTGTCTGTTTTCCCTTCAGATGTTCTATTAAGGGAAGAGAGAAATCCAGAGAGACAGACTGACTGTGTTTTCTTCTGTGTCTGGAAGCCACTGAAGCATCTTGAGTCAGAAAGCAGTGAATAAATGGTAATGCGTCAAAGCTGGAGAGGACAGTGAAAACATCCAGTATGGCCTCTGCAGTTTACTGTATCAGTTATTGGTATCAGCTTACTAGAGAAACTCCATTCATTTCCAGCTTGTTCACCTACCAGTGACGATTCGCTGGGTCCCTGTGGTTTAAAACTCTCCACTTTATCCTAGAGCTTGAATAAAGTCAGAGAAAGGATGGTAAGGAAGGGATTGACCTTGCAGATATCACAACTGCAGATCTCCTTTTCTTACCATTTTAAATACTGTGTATTTGTGGTTTTTATTTTATCTAGAGGAATTGTGAGAGAAACTTAACTGCCTTTGGCTCTATTTTAGAAAGTGTCCCAGAAATATAGAATCCTGACTACAGAAAGTCTTAATACCATGTCATAAAACACTTTTCAAAAATTCTGTTTGAAATGTCCCTGGGGAATTGTGGTTATTAGTAGATTGGTATAAAGGAACACCTTTTATACTTTTATTTCCCATTTCTGATATCTTGTTCAACATTTTTTATTCTTTTGCCTGAAGAATATCCTGTACTTATGAAAACCTTTAAAAAAGTAACATCACAGAATATCCCTTTACTATCAGATTGCTCTGATTTAGCCTTAATTTTGTTAAATTTTCTAGAGATGAATGAAACGTTGCTCTGGAAAGAAGTGTATTATATACTATTTATATATCATTAAAGTCCATTTTTATAGCTCTTTTTTGTTGACTTTTTTTGGAGGGAGATCTTCAATTATGGGAAAATAGGAATTGAGTCTCACCCACTTCTTAATTGGTTGCTGTGGTGCTAGGAAAGACTGTTCCTTTAGGAAGATGATTTACCTGGACAGATTTTGCTTATCAGTCCAGTGGTGAGAATTTGTATTAATGTTGAGAAGGAGGAAGAAGCAACTCTGACACACACTTTTCCTCATTTTAAACCATGAAGTCTCCCCTTTTTCTGCTGAGACAACAGCTTCTTGGTCTATGTATAAGTTTCAGATGAGCATAATTAAGTGTCCTGGGATTCCCATTCTTCTCCAAGTTATCCATAATTGGTTAGGAGCCACACAGGCAAATGCCTTTGCATAATCAATAAAACACAAATCACAGTCTTTTTTCTGGTATTCTCTGTTTTCAGCTGAGATCCATCTGACCTCAGCAATAACCCTGGTGCCATGGTCTGTTCTGAATCCAGCTTGAATTTCTGGTAGTTCCTGTCATACTATTACAGAACTTTCTGAATAATCTTCAGGAAGATTTTACTTCATATGCTATTAATGATATTGTTTGAGCATTTCTGCACTCTGTTGTATCCCTGTCCCCTTTAACAGCACCTTTTTAAATTTCCACTTCCAGTATAGTTGATCATATAAAAATAGTGAATACCAGGCCATCTCAGCTCACTAATGCCTAGACTGGAAATCTTTTTATCTTCCATTTATTTTTTTACAACTTCCAATTTTCCTGCATTTTTTTTGTACATGCTACATTTCAGTCATTAATAGATGTTTGCCATTGTTTTTCAATTTAAGTCTTGTCACATTAGCAAAAGAAAGTCATTCAGTGAAAGTTTTATTCCCTCTACCTCATTAAAATAGACTCTACTTTGAGGATCCAGCTCTTCCCCAGTTATATTTTGAGTATCTTCCAATCTAGTGGCCCATCTTTTGGCATTATCTAGCAGTGTTA